GGTGGGGGGAACAGGAAGCTTTAAAGTGAGAGCTGGTATCCCCCCAGCCTAACCGCAGATTCAGTAACCAAGCATATGATTATTCAATGTTCTTTATGCCTGATCTAAAGGGTAAAGAATGGGTATGCTCCTATTTGACATAATACAATTTGAACTAATTCAAATTATCCATTCACTTAAATTTTTTGACAAGGAGAAAAATTTTTTCTTATATATTGAAATTCACATTACAAAATTTATTAGTATAATTAGTTAATTAAGAGTTTATTAAAATTACATTTTATTTCAGTTGACTATTAGTGACAAATATGCAATTTGAACTATATTATTGTGATTAAGAATTAATTTTTTAGATCTTAGTTCATAGCCTCTAATATTACTCCCTGTGGGATCGATATCTAGGACTCCATTAGAGCCCTGTATTACTTGAGTGATACATATAATTGCGTTGATAAGTGTCAATTTGTAATTATTGAATATTTAATACACACCTTTATTAAATCTATAACTGTTGTCAAGTTTTTGGCGCCGTTGGCCGGGGAGTAAAAATTAGATTTTAAAAAAAATCCTAATTAGAGTAACAAACATATTAGGACTGTTAGAAAACTTTTACTTGAATTACAACTTATTTTCATATTTAGTTAACTGTTTTTCTGTGTGCTGATTTCAATTGTATGTCTATATTTGGACCTTAAAATCTTATACCCTACAATTCGGAATTAGAACGCACTGTTAGAAAAATTAGAAGACTGAGAAGAAGAAAAGAACCTAGAAATCGTCGTGACACAATGGAAAACAATGTGAACAATCAAGGAATAGAAAATGAACATCAACCTAGACCTCTACGAGATTATGCAAATCCTACAACAGATGAAATTCGCTTATCTATCCAAAATTCTGATGTAGCTGCTAATTCATTTGAGCTCAAACCTGCTATTATCCAAATAGTACAAAACAATCAATTCGGAGGTACACCAAATGAAGATCCTAATTTAAACCTCGCTAGTTTTTTAGAACTTTGTGCTACCTTTAAATATGACAGAGTTTTGAACGATGCTTTTAGACTTAGACCTTTTCCTTTTTCTCTAAGGATAATTCTAAAATGTGGTTATATTCGTTAGCACCTAGATCTATTAGAACTTCAGGAGAAAATTCACAAAAATTTTTATCCAAATATTTCCCTCAATCCAAAACTGCTAAATTTAGAAATTACATAACATCATTTTGTCACATTGATGGACACATTGAGGGACAGTCGATATATGAAGCTTGGGTGAGATTTAAAGATCTTCTAAAGAAGTGCTCACATTATTCGTTACCAGATTGTTTGATAATTCAAACTTTTTATAATGGATTTGTGGGATCTCTTAAATCGACTATAGATGTTGCGGCTGGTGGTTATTTAATTTTAAAACCATTTGTTTAGGGCGA